CGAAGCCCCGGTTCATGTGATCAGTAAACACGATTACCTCCCCCTTTTTGGGTTGAGGCTTCTCCTCTAACGGGTTAGGAGCACGATAAGACATGACCTCCTTCGTTTTGGGCAGATGGCCGGATTTCACAAAATCAGACAAAGTGCTCTCTGTAACAGTGGATTTGACCCAGTTGCAGGTCACAGGAGTTTTGGGGGCCTTGAGTGCCATTACGTAAATTGAAGCCTATGACAAAATAAGAGGTTCCTGTTCAGATTTAACCTGGAGGAAAACATTTTAAGTTTATTCAAGATGGCGCCTCCGCTGGGGCCTAATGATATATGGGTAACCATGCAGTGATATTTAAGCCACTACAGGTACCAAAGGCAGTTAAATTTTCTTAAGTCACGAGGACAGAGGCAATTTTTTATTTAAGGGTGGAACAAACAGGTTTCACAAGTTGCGGCTATTATTTTGGATCAAACGGCTGTTCTGAAAAGAAAAATTTCTAGACCTAGGACTGGCACATATGAAGCTCAAGGGCTCGAACGGGGCCTCTGTGCGATGAAAAGGGGTCTACTTGCATTCGAAATGGGTGCGAAATAGCTACCGCATCAGTTTTATATCATCTTAAAGATCAAGAAACGGCGGTGGTGATGAAATCTATGAGGGGTTCCTGACGAACAACGAGGAACACCGAGGAACTCGAAGGTCTTAATGCGGATTTGAGGAAAAAGAAGGAGGAAACTTACAGATGCAGAGTTGCTATGGAGGTTTGTCGCGCTTTTCTGGTCAAATCAGGTTGATGCGGCGGCCTGAGTTGGCGAGGACGAGGAGATCTGCGACGGCGGCGGTGGCGGAGCTCGAGCGGCATAGAGACGGCGAGAGGAAGAAGATGAATGACTGAGGAAGAAAATGAAGAAGACCTAGGTCGAGCCTATTTATAGGGAAGGGCCGACCAGGACGGTGCGATAAACGAGGAGATTGGATATTATTATCTAGCGACCCCGATGCCTCGGGTTTCAGGACAATCAATAAAGCCCTTGAAGATATAGCAAGATAAAATAAGGATTTAATTGGAGATGACGTCACGGCGGGTTAACGTGGATCCAGAAGATGACGTCATGTCGGGTTAAAACCTTTTGCACAGACAAAAGACAAAAGGCTTATTTCTTAAGGTATTTTAAGATTGACATGAACGTGTTCAAATCAATCTGGGGCCTAATATTGGGGATATAACTATTTGTCTAAGCCGCCCAGGAGGGGCCGGGTTACGCAAAGAAGACTCATCAGAAAGAAGCCCAAGACCAAGCCTGAAGATGGCGGTTCAATAAAGGGTCTAAGGCCCGTAGGTGGCTTAAAGCCCACAGTGGTAAACCGTCATGAAGATATGACTTGTAACGTAAGGTAGAATTAACTAGTCACCGAGCCGGACACTGTCTATGAGCCGGCCGGGACTCTGTAGGCCGCAAGGCGTCCACCCGTGTATATAAGGGGACGACCCGCTGGCGGCTGAGGGCGAGAAACAACTCATGGAGAACCGGGCATAGCGTATCTCGCTCCCTGGTCATCGAAACATCAAGCAATACCAACCCAACTAGACGTAGGCCTTACCTTCATCGTAAGGGGCCGAACTAGTATAAACCTCTCGTGTCTCTTGTCCTAATAACCCCTTCAAGCTTCCTAGTAGCGATGGCTCCACGATTAAGTCCTTTCGCTAGGACATATGACGTGACAATTCCACGACAGTTGGCGCCCACCGTGGGGCCATCGCTACCCTCTGTACTGTGGTGCATCAACACTATGCCTAACAGATCCACGGGTTACACACCTTTTTTCATGGTCTATGGAGCAGAGGCAGTCCTGCCAAGTGACATCCGACACGACTCACCCCGCGTGGCGGCTTACGTTGAGGCTGATAACGAAAAAGCTCGTCAGGATGCACTTGACTTGTTGGATGAGGAGCGAGACTTGGCAATAGCCCGCTCGGCTTACCAGCAAGACCTTCGTCGCTATCACAACCGCCGGGTTAGAAGTAGAACCTTTTAGGAAGGCGACTTAGTGCTCCGGCTCATCCAGGATCAGTATGATATGCACAAGCTATCCCCGCCGCCGATAGGATAAGGAGTCACCTCCTCGCGCCCCCTCGAGCACCCCGCCTCCCACTCATTCCCATACACCTCGCTCGCTCCCCCTCTCCGCTCGTCACCTCTGCCCATTCCCGAACGACACCGTCACCATGACCGTCGTCGCCCACGCGCCCACCGTCGCTCCCACGCCCTGAGCCGGTGTCCCGGAGCTCCGCTGCCGTCTTCTACTTCGCCCACGCCCAAGAAATGGAGCCAAGAGCTTCTGCGGATCTAGATCACCATCATCTTCTTCCTTGCACCACCGTCGAAGACCTCCATCAATTCCGGCTCCTCCGCTAGCCACTGCGTGATCCCTATGTGAGCATTGCGTGCTTCCTCTCTCTCTCTCTCTCTCTCTCTCTCTCTCTCTCTCTCTCTCTCTATTGTCTGATTCGCCCGCTAGCCATCGCTAACATGTGAGCCGAAGCTCAGCGTCGCTCGAGCTCGTCTCCGGCAATGCTCCGGTGACCAAATGTTCACCCTCTTGTGTCCAACATCTTTGATGCTTCGCGTAGAGCACCGCAGCCCATTTATTTGCTCATTTGCGTGCTAAATCGCCTCGCCCGCACAACATGAGCTCCAGTTGACGCTCTCCGGCGTTGCTCCATTCGACTCCGGCCACCCGCAGCTTATGCCACTGCCTCCAATCGACGCGGTTGGATGCCTACGTTTGAACGAGCCCGCCCACACTCATTGTGGCCGTCGGACGGCAAATCCCTGTGTACGCCGCCGTCCTGGTTGGTCGCCAGACCTTCATCATCAGCGCGCCACCACGCCCTGGGCCAAGACATGTGGGCCCAGGTGCTTAGCACCTAATTAACCCACTGTCGAGTCCCTGACATGTGGGCCATGCTACTGTAGCGTCTAATTAACCACAATGCCACTAACAGCTGGGCCCCACTGCCTAATTTAATTTGGACTAATCAAACCTAATTTAATTTGGTCACCTCTAGCACTGCATACTGTCATGTCATGCATTGTGATGCATTTAATTGCTTTATATTTATTATTTCTTCCCCCTCTTATCTCCGGTAGACACCGAGACTGACCTTGCCGCCGTTGTCGACTACACTCCTGACGATCAGTCCTTTGCAGCAGAGCTTATGTGAAAAGAGCTTTGTAGGGCTTATGAGAACCACTTCAAGGTTAGAGAATGCCAATCGGTTACAAACATGCTTCGGTTGAGTTTTGGCTTAGAGACATAACATGACTTTGGAGGAACAACGTCATAAGGAGTTGAAAGAGGACCATATGGCTTAGAGACATAGCATGTGTTGAAGACATCTTGGACGATTGAAAAGCATGGTAATGAGGTATTCACGCATGAGCTATTTGAGGGTTTTCAGAATGAGTTGCTTGCTGATAGGGATCATTGCCTTGTTGAGATGATGTCACATGATGGTGAGGTTAAAACAACCACTGTACGTGATGGTTATAAGAAACTAAGGTTAGAAACTTACAAAACAACAACCATGGTGGGTTCTTACACATGTAAGTTATTTGAGACACGTTGTAGCTCGTGTCGTAATCTCATCCATGTCCTAAGAGTTGCCTAGCTAGATGAACTGCCAAGCCTCTATTTACTCAAAAGGTTTAGAAATGATTATAAAACTGAGCTGGTCTTTGATGAGGATGGCATTTTATTGGAAGCTAATGAGAAGAGTTCAGTTGATCCGGCGATAAAAAAGGTTCGTTTCAGAAACATGTAAGAAGATGGAAGAACTTTTAATTCAGGTGAAGCAATCTCAGGCTGGCATTCAATTCCTGGGAGATGTCATTTTCACACTTGGAGAGCAGTTTTCTACCCAAGTTCCATGGAAATAACAAACTCAAACTGAAGAATTAGAAGAATTTCTGGGTTGTTCCATTCGAAGTGAGGTAGACATCCATCCTCCAAATGATAAGGGGTCGGATTAAAAGACTAAAGGGATTTAGAGATAAGGGTGGAAAGCAAAGCAAGAAAGAGAAGAGCAAGAACAAAAACGATGGCCACGTTTGTCCTAAGGAAGTGTAGAAGACATAATTAAGGTACATTCCTCTAGACTTAGTTTAGAGAATAATTCTAAAATTTTGCTTGCTTATAAATATAACATGCACTACTGTTTTCATAGATTAATGTGATATTCGTTTTAAAATATAAGGGATATGTACCGAAAAAGGCTTTCGCCCCGCTTTATATTATAAAGCAACCGCTAACAACAAGCATCCCACAAGGATCCACACAAGTCCAAACACAAACACACACACGGAGGTTCACAAGCAAACACAAAGACAAGAGGGTCCGAGCTGAGGGCACAGCACAACAAGTCCTAAACACACACAACACAGCGCACGGCGCACAACGCAAGGTGCAAGGTGCAAAGCAGACCGACAGCCTAGTCGGGCTCAGGAGGAGGGGGCGGGAGCGGGGGAGCCACACGGAGCACCATCGAGCGAAGATCGGCAAGGAGGTTGCCCTAAATATGAGGGATATGTGGATGTGGCTCACACTGGACCACCTTTTTTTCTTTCTTTCCCTCTCTCTTCATCCCACCAATCACATACATTTGACAGGACAATTAGACAATAAAGTAGGAAACATGGTGAACTAGACCGGATCAGAATTAGACATCGTGGTGCATTATTTAATACGGCCCCACACTTAAAAAATAAAGCCTCAAACTTGGAATCTCACATGCTAGTCGTCGGTGTTTTCACGTGCCAAGAACTAGCGGTACAGTACACTGAATGGTGAGTGCTAACCACCAAGGAGTTATCCTGTCCCTGTCCACGCTGTCCACGCACTGATTAGTATTCCCACTCACTCTGTACCGTACGTAAGCTTGAATTTCTTTTCTTTCCTGCCAGAAAACCATAGCCTCGATCTGCATCAGCACCATCCCGGCGACGACATGCTCGTCGACGGCAAGCCACACGCGGTGTGCGTGCCGTACCCGGCGCAGGGCCACGCCACCCCGATGATGAAGCTGGCCAAGGTCCTCCACTCGAGGGGCTTCCACATCACATTCGTCTACACCGAGCACAACCACCGGCGCCTCGTCCGCTCCCGCGGCCCAGGCGCCGTCGCTGGCCTCCCGGACTTCCGCTTCGCCACCATCCCCGACGGCCTGCCCCCGTCCGACCCCGACACCACCCAGGACCAGGCGTCCATCTGCTACTCCACCACGACCACCTGCCTCCCCCACCTGAAGAGCCTGATTGGTGACCTCAACAACGGTGCAGCGGGGACGCCGCCGGTGACGTGCGTCGTCGCGGACAGCATCATGAGCTTCGTAGTGGACGCCACGGCGGAGATCGGCGTGCCGTGCGCGCTGTTCTGGACTGCCAGCGCCTGCGGTTACATGGGCTATTACAACTTCCGTTTCCTCATAGACCAGGGCCTTACTCCTCTCAAAGGTACAATAAACTTCTTGAAGTGGGTAACAGCATATATTTTATTTTGTGATGTGTAACAAGTAGTAGTAACAAGCGAGGTTGCATGCCTGCTGTTCGGTTTGATGAGCAGGTGAAGAGCAACTGACGAACGGCTACTTGGACACGCCGGTGACAAATGCTCTCGGGATGAGCAAGCACATGCGCCTCCGCGACTTCCCGTCCTTCGTCCGCACCACAGACCGGGATGACATCCTGCTCAACTTTATGATACACGAGCTAGAGCGGGCGAGCCGTGCGGACGCCATCATCGTCAACACCTTTGACGAGTTCGAGGAGCCGGCGCTCGACGCCATGCGCGCCATCCTCACCCCGCCGGTCCATACCATCGGCCCACTCAACTTTGTTGTGGAGCAGCTGGTCCCCGACGGCGGCGATCCGCTCGCCTCGATTCGTCCTAGCCTTTGGAGGGAAGACCGGTCCTGCCTAGAGTGGCTCCGCGGCAGGGAACCCCGGTCCGTGGTGTACGTCAACTTCGGGAGCATCACCACCATGACCGGCGAACAGCTGGTGGAGTTCGCCTGGGGGCTGGCCAACTGCGGCTACGACTTCCTTTGGATCGTGAGGAACGACCTGGTGAAGGGCGACGCCGCAGTGCTGCCGCCGGAGTTCCTGGAGGCGACCAAGGGCCGGTGTTTCTTGGCGAGCTGGTGCGAGCAGGAGGCGGTGCTGCGGCACGAGGCCGTTGGCATCTTCTTGACGCACTACGGGTGGAACTCGATGATGGAGGGGCTCAGCGCCGGGTTGCCGATGCTGGGCTGGCCCTTCTTCGCTGAGCAGCAGACCAACTGCCGCTACGCGTGCGTGGAGTGGGGCGTCGGATTGGAGGTCGGCGACGACGTGCGCCGGGAGGTGGTGGAGGAGAGGATAAGGGAGGTGATGGGTGGTGGCGACGTGGGGAGGGAGATGAGGCGGAAGGCGATGGAGTGGAAGAACATCGCTGTGCGTGCCACGACACAACCTGGTGGCAGATCATTGGCCAACCTTGAGCTTCTGCTCAAGAATATACAAGCACGACCGTTGGATCGTCCTTCTCCCGCCGCGGTGCAAACAGATCTAGTGCCCGGGATTGACCGCGATCTGTAAGTAGTAGTACTAGAGGATATCAATTTTTGGGCATTTATATAAGTTCAAAAAAGGTACGATTTGGACCGGCTCTACAAGCTCTAGGTTTGAAAAACATACTTTTCTCTTCCTGGAAACATATGATTGTGGAGACACTACAAATGCGGCGTTTTCTCATGTTGTTTCTCCCAATAAGTGGATATGTGTGGTTTGTTTTGAGAAACGATTTATCAACAATCTCGTCCGTTTAACTTTTTCTTTGCAAGTTCCGACATTTTTTCCGGAACTTTCAACAAATTTTGCAACAAAGATTAAGCTTGTAATAATTTTCTCTGGAACCTCCAACGAAAAAAATTCTAAAATTTGGACAATTTTACCCTGAACTTTGCCGAATGTTTTTGAAATTTTAACAAAATCCCTATATTATCTCTGGCATCTGGCTTTCTTGATTTTTCAAAGGGTTGAAGCCGCTTTGACAAGAGGAATAAACTGGTCCATCTGATGTGCAGCAGAAAACGCATGGGAAAAGGCAGCGGTCCCTCCCAGCCATGTGCATGACCCCGCCATTTTGCATGTGGTCCTGTATTACTGTATTCTTCTATCATTCAATGGAGGCTTAATTTTGAAAATTTTGAAACTCAAACTTTCAGTTTTAATTTTTGCTGAATTTCTTTTACACATGTGAGATTCTTTGAATGATGTAATGTGTATGTGTGTAAAATTTCAGGACAAATATCTTGAATTGGGAGCTGCACAAAAAACAATCATGGATTCTGGGGATGAACAGTACTCATGGAGGAAAATTTGCAAAATAAGCTTATCTTTTTGCTAATTGTTGTGCTAATCCTCTGATGTCTTTGATCACCCTAGCCTTTTCTATGTAATATATACTCTCATTTGCCCTTACCCCTAATATCTGGCTCACGCTCCCCCACTGCATGCCACAAGAGACGACAGAAGAAACAGTTAGCACCATACCTTGTAGCGGAGCCGAGAAAGCCGATACGAAGGAGTACCATGAAAGTTTGTGAAAAAAATCAACAAAATGATGACCAACTCCGAAGAAATTTTAGTGAAAGGAACTGGCACAAACCGTGAAACTAATCATAGGGAGGAAGCGATGCGAGGCACCGTGAGCGGCGGGCGCAAATGCCCTCATGGTCGTCGCGGGAACCATAGACTGCCACCTCAGCCTACCCCTTTCCCCGGTCTACCGTGCGCTGACAATGCCACGTATCTCAATGGCAATAAAATGCAGAGGACCCGGATAAAATCGTTGGACACAATCCAAAATTGCCGTCCTCAATAGATCCGCCTTTGTCAATTGTCTTTTCATGTTTGAAAGCCGTGCTACAAATGTTGATGCTGATAGGTTTGCCAAGTTTTTGTATTTTCTTGATCAAGGTAGACATGTTTGGTTGCTACAACCTCGTAATCTCTTCTGGGTTTCTCTCCTTCGGGAGTTTGATCAATAAAACTTGGGTTTCCCCTAAAAGAAAATTTTGACCCACGCCTTTAAAACTTTAGGCAGCACAGTGAGTTAAATGATAGTGCATTTTTTATTGGGTCACATTCAGACATGAGCCTCAAAATATGGCTGAAATTCCAACAGTGTTCACCTCTGAGTCTTAGGTGCATGGTGTCATTTTCCAAGTTCAGAAAACAATTGGCAGCCGGCTCGGGAGATTCAACAGCAATGGGAATGGCTTGGCTTCTAGTCACCCTGACCACCAACCGCATCCATTGTCCCAGTCCCTCCGAAGCAGCAGCTGCTGATTCCATCCCCTTCTTCCAGTAGATAACACATGGCCGTGCCGCCGCCCGCCGACGAGAGGCCGCTTGTGATGCTAGCGCAGCCACTCTTCCCGGAGTTCGCCACGGCTCTCGCCGGACGTTACCGGTTCGCGCTGCTAGCGGACGCCGACGCGGCGGCCGCGGCCGAGGCGAGGGCGCTGCTGGTAGGGGGGCTCCCGTCGGTAACGGCCCAGCACCTGGACGCGCTCCCGGCACTCGAGCTCGTGGCGTGCACCTCCGTGGGCGTCGACCACGTGGACCTTGACGCGTGCCGGAGCCGCGGGCTCAGCATGACCAACGCCGGCGCCGCGTTCGCGGCCGACTCGGCCGACTACGCCGTCGGGCTTCTTGTTGCCGTGCTCCGGAGGGTGGCCGCCGCCGACGCATACGTCCGCAGCGGCAGGTGGACGGCCGACGGCGACTACCCTCTCACCACCAAGGTTAGTACGACTACTCTGTTCTTGGCCATCCCAAAGAAAGAAGATGATGATTTGACCAGAGTCTTGGCGATGGCAGGTGAGCGGCAAGCGGGTGGGGATCGTGGGGCTGGGCAACATCGGCTCATGCGTCGCCCGGCGTCTCGCCGTCTTCGGCTGCGCCGTCTCCTACCACTCGAGGTCGCCCAAGCCGTCGGCACCGTACCCATTCGTCCCCGCGCTGCGCGACCTTGCCGCCGGCAGCGACGTGCTGGTGCTCTCCTGCGCGCTGACGGACGAGACCAAGCACATGGTGAACCGGGAGGTGATGGAGGCGCTGGGGAAGGGCGGGGTGCTGGTCAACGTCGGCCGGGGCGGCCTGGTGGACGAGCCGGAGCTGGTCAGGTGCCTCCGCGAGGGCGTCATCGGCGGCGCCGGCCTGGACGTGTACGAGAACGAGCCGGCCGTGCCGCCGGAGCTGCTCGCCATGGACAACGTCGTGCTGTCAGACCACAGGGCCGTGCTCACGCCAGAGTCCATCGGCGGCGTGCTCGAGGTCGTCATCGCCAACCTCGACGCCTTCTTCTCGGGGAGGCCGGTGGTGAGCCCCGTGGAGCTCTGAAACATGAACATCACGCACTGGCACTGGTCTGATGAAATTGATCCGTCTGAAGGAATCGCATTCTGCAAAAAGATGAAGTGATTAAACAGACTTGGTTCCCATATTAAAAAGATGAAGTGAACACACAAATTTGGGAGAATGTGATGTGCAAGAATAGACTTCTCATCACTTCATTTTCGATGGGGTCAAGTTCACTAAAGATTAGTACACCATTATTGCAATCCGTTTTCATGAAATCCGGGTTTGGGGTATTGTATGGACTTGGGTATCTATTTCCTTCAGGACATCGCATACTTTCATTTTCATGAATATTATTGGCCGGGACCAAAATGATTATATATGTGTTTTGAAATGTTTGGAAAGAGCAAAATAAGAAGAAGAAAAAAAAGAAGGGTGAAGCTTGCCGCTAAAAATAAAACCCTCAAAAAAGAGTTCAAGTGAAGCTACTAGGAAGCCAGAAATGGACATGCTTATCCGCTGTCACTATGAGTTGTGTAGGAAGTCAAAAATGGACATGCTTATCAGTCGTCTCTACGATTAGTCCTCTCAAGTGAAGCCGTTTCAGAAAATTCAAAACCGCACATGCATACAAAAGAGTACCGCCATCAGCTGTGACTTTGAACGGTATGAGTCCAAAGCGCACAATTTCAGGCCAACTTGGACACTCACTCTCTCATCTGCTGTGTACATACGCACCGTGACATCGCCACTGCAAGCATTCTCTCCCACAGAACGCAACATTTCTCGAGCCGATCGACGACATGGCCACGACCGAGAAGAAGCCCCACGCCGTGCTCGTGCCGTTCCCGGCGCAGGGGCACGTCACCCCGATGATGAAGCTGGCCAAGGTCCTGCACCGCAAGGGCTTCCACGTCACCTTCGTCAACACCGAGTACAACCAGCGCCGCCTCGTCCGCTCCCGCGGCCCCGGCGCCGTCGCCGGCCTTCCGGGCTTCCGCTTCGCCACCATCCCAGACGGCATACCCACGTCCCATGCCGACGCTGACTCCACGCAGGACCCGACGTCCCTGTGCTACTACACCATGACCACCTGCCTCCCCCACTTCAAGAGCCTGCTCCACGACCTCAACGCCGCGGTTGGGGCGCCGCCGGTGAGCTGCGTCGTGGGCGACGGCGTCATGAGCTTCTGCGTAGACGCGGCCGCGGAGCTCGGCGTGCCGTGCGCGCTCTTATGGACTGCCAGCGCCTGCGGATTCATGGGCTACCGCAACTTCCGGTTCCTCCTAGATGAGGACCTCACCCCTCTCAAATGTATGCATGCCATGCGCGCGCAAGTTTCTACTATGATTGTGCATACGTGTAATGTTGATCTGAGCAGATGAAGAGCAAGTGAAGAACGGGTACTTGGACACCCCGGTGAGGCAGGCACACGGGATGAGCAAGCACATGCGCCTCCGAGACTTCCCGTCCTTCGTCCGCACGACCGCGGGGACGTGCTATTCAACTTCCTGCTGCACGAGGTCGAGCAGTCGGATCGCGCGACCGCCGTCATCCTCAACACCATTGACGAGCTCGAGCAGACGGTGCTCGACGCCATGCGCGCCATCCTCCCACTGCCTGTCTACACCATCGGCCCGCTTAACTTCCTCACCGAGCAGCTGGTCTCGGAAGGCGACCTCGCCGGGATACGCTCCAGCCTCTGGAGAGAAGACCAGTCCTGCCTCGAGTGGCTCCAGGGCAGGGAGCCCCGGTCCGTGGTGTACGTCAATTACGGGAGCGTCACCACCATGTCCAAGCAGGAGCTGGTGGAGTTCGCATGGGGGCTGGCCAACTGCGGCTACGACTTCTTGTGGATCGTGAGGAACGACCTGGTGAAGGGCGATGCCGCAGTGCTGCCTCCCAAGTTCCTCGAGGCCACCAAGGGCAGATGCCTCCTAGTGAGCTGGTGCGAGCAGGAGGCAGTCATGCGTCACGAGGTGGTGGGCGCCTTCCTGACGCACTGTGGGTGGAACTCGATGATGGAGGGGCTCAGCGCCGGGGTGCCCATGCTATGTTGGCCCTTCTTCGCTGAGCAGCAGACCAACAGCCGCTACGCATGCGTGGAGTGGGGCGTCGGAATGGAGGTTGGTGACGACGTGCGCCGGGAGGTGGTCGAGGCGAGGATAAGGGAGGTGATGGGTGATGGCGAGGTGGGGAAGGAGATGAGACAGAGGGCGATGGAGTGGAAGGAGGTCGCTTCTCGCTCAACCGTGCAACCCGGTGGCAGGTCGTTGGCCAACCTTGAGACTCTGCTCAAGGATGTACTGAAGTGGCCGCCAACAACAAATAATTAAGCTGGGTATATAGTCACTCCTTGCAAAATTATAGTGCATATAAGTTTTCTCCAACGTCAGACTTTGTAAACTTTGCAAATTATAGTGCATATCAGCTGGGTAGCATTTAGCCTTCTACCATTTACCTGCTATAAACATTGGAAACTGTCTTTCAAGTTTAAATAGGTCGATAAAAGCAGAAAGTGTGCGTGCGATATGGTAGTCTATATTAATTTCTTGGCCAGAAAAGCTAACAAATATACGTGCTGATCGAATCTAGAGAAAGATATCTGGTGATTCTTCTAACAAATATATTATATACTCATTCTTCTGTTTATGTCCATGCACAACCTGAAGATCAACAGGCGATTCAGAGTTCAGACTATTGTGTGGTGTGGTTTCAGTGTTGAGAGATATACTTCTAACAAATATATTATATACTCATTCTTCTGTTTATGTCCACAGCACCGATATTCATGCATCTTAAGACACAACATCAAATCATTTAGGAAAACAAAGATGCATAGATTGCTTGCATTTACCTGTTGCCATGCCACCGCTGCATTGCCATACCAGCGATTGACGAAGGACGACGCTTGTGGGACGGTGCAAGTCATTCGGCCAACAAGATTTCTTCAGTCCCTGATGTCTGGCCCGAGAGACACGCAGGCAGTCAGGGTGACTCAAAACGTGACAATAAAAAACTAAGATGAGGCACACAGTAGATCAGACAGGTATGTAAATGAAAATAATTGAATATGTGAATGTTAGTACTATGTTACTACATTAAGCTACCTGCCAGCCAGCGTCATAAAACAGCGAAAATTATTTACTTATTCCATGTAGTAAAAAAATTATTACATACATATGGACATACGCCAGTATTTTAGATATCTGTACAGGAAAATTTTGCCTCTCGGCTCTATGAAATGGAGAATTTCCCCCTCAACTGTAAATTTCTGTTTCCCCTGTACCTGAAATCTCAAGAACTCCATTTACAAGGCAGACAAATAAAAACCTGCTTCCGTTGAAGTATGGCTGTGTATTGTTTTCCCATGCAAAGGGAAAACGTATTGGGTCTATCAAACTTATGTACCAAAAGCAGAAGCATCAACTGGCTTCAGTTGTATTCTGCTGGGACCAAAGTTCGGCATAACGCCCGCGCTTCGACAGAAGATGATCATGTGGTCCTTGTTCAACTACTCTTCCATTCTCGAAGACGATGATCTGAAAATCAGTTGAAAGATTACTTACATGGGAATTATGGAAGTGAATGATTTTCAATAGATGGATTCAAAGTATAAAGGAGTTTAGCCCTTAATAAGTACAACAATTTCATGAACAGTTGCAATAGCAACTTTTATGGCTGTAAACCTGGCTTAGTATTCATATATTGATCGTCAATATAGCAAGAAGTGATATTATTTTTTTCAGATATGTATGCTGTACTGTTTATGTATGTGCAGAAATATGAATACCTCGTCGCATAGCATTGCAGTTGTGAGTCGATGAGCAATAAATATTGAGGTTCGATCGACGGATAAAGACATTAGAGAATTCAAAATCGATGATTCAGTAGTGCTATCCAGTGCGCTTGTAGCTTCATCACATAACCTGGTAGGAATCAGGTGAGAAAGTTAATTCAGTGAGGGAAATTCCTAAGCCCATTATTTGCACTCAAAAAATTGTTTGATAAGTATCTGGAATTAGTTCAAACATCAAACCCTTTTAGCAGGCCTAACTCACGTTTTTTTAAACAGGCAAAGTTGTTTGATAAGCATCTGAGATAGGATAAACTCTGAAGCTCTCATCTCATACTCTGTATCCTCATCCCCTTTTCTTTCGATCCACTAACACAGCCGCGGTGCCCTGGTTGTGAGGATTCCTTCACAAGGCCTCACAAACTGGTATAAGAGCTGGAATCCGCTCCGTCTGCGCTCATGAAATCTCACGATCAATCCATAACGTCCACCGTGAAAGGTGCTGCTCGATTCCGGTTCAGCAACACAAAATCCTTGTCCGGGTTGGATTCATTTGAAGTTGAGCTGGGACGGCGCCTTCAAAGCTTTGGCAGCAACACGGCAGATCTTGAGCGCCATGCAAGCTCCTGTACCAGATGGAGCACGACCATCAAGTTCTATGGTGCCGTCGCTTCTGTTCATTTGCAAGCTCCCTCAAGTGCCACTAGCGCAGTCGCCTTAGCTCGCATTCAGGAGGATGAGCTCAACGTGCACCCAGCACTGTCCCTCCTGCATCTTCCGATTGGCAGAAGCGTTCAGCTGCTGCCGATTTCACTCGCGGTCATCAGCTGCGAGATTTTCAGCGTGAGAATGGACTGTGCTTTCAATGTGTAGATAAGTACGGCCGAGTCTCCTATGTGGCGTGCCGTCTGAGGGCTGGGCTCCCCTCAAGTGCAAGGTGTTCGTGTGGTTAGCGATGGAGAATGGGTGTAGATGGCAGAAAGACTGGAGCAGAGAACTACCGCATCCGCCTGCCTGCCCCTCTGTGCGACCAGACAGCCGAGACCATGTCACACATCCTCACTGACGACTTCTTCGAACGGGTGTAGGATGGCAGACAGTTCTCTCTACAATTCCAATGGCCTCAGGCAGGCGATGAGCAGGTGCCCCGGCTGGACCATGCTGCAGAGTGCGCCAGGGTTGATAAGTTAAGGGATCATGTTGCCTAATCTCTCTAATGATGTGGCACATCTGGCGACTTCAAAAT